GGAGTTTTCTTTTAATAGACTTTCGTTTCGGGACACTTGAGGCATGAATGTGTCCAGTGACTTGATGCTCTTGTGTGTTGTCTGCTGAGCCTTCAACTGCATCGCCTTCTAGCTGCAGAGGGTTCTTCATTCCAACAGAGGGCTCTAAATCCAGCTCTGAAAATTAAACAATAGCCAATGATATCCACTGGCATCCATGATCTTACTGTGACTTTCTCTTCCACCCAAAGGACATCAAATCAGGAATGTGGCCTTGGACAAGAAAGTCCAAAATGTGAGGGGAAGCCAATAGAATGACTTCAATATTTTCTTTTTTGTTGATATTTCTTCCATTACTCAGTAAGGACAAGTTTGTCAGGGGGCCAAGGCACTCCTGATTCACTAAAATATTCAAGAAACACAAGAGTAAGAAATACAAATAGCATCCAGGTAGATAAGGTAAAAGCAAGGAAATCCTCCTGTATGTAGTCTGTGCTTTGGGGAGAGAAAATATTATAAAAGTGAAAGTTAAATCAGAGCTGAGTTCAAACAGGAGATGGGGATGGAAGGGCCTGGTAGGGTGGCAGCCTATGGGACACAGAGGTGAGACCATACAGAGGTTACAGCAGCTGCTGAGAGGACCGAACGGGGGAAGCTTAAACCTGGATAATTTACAAAAGTTTCATCATTATATGATTTATTGCATATATGTTTACATATGTATGTATATATATATACACATCCTATGTAGCATACACACGAAATATACATAATATATGAGATAAATTACATCAATGCATATATCTTTACGTCCTAATCTGATTAAAATCTTATATAGAGTTTTGGGAAATGCTAAATATAATATTATAATCACTATTCTGGCCCATTCAAATTGGAAAAAAATATATATCAACATGAGAAGAATGAGAAAGAAAAGGTGTGGGAAAAGCAAATGATCTTTAGACCGTGGGAGAAATCAACAGGGGAAGGAAAATATGAATGAGACAAAAGCATTCCCTTTGTCCTCTCACCTGGAGCCTGATCAGGCTCTGGACTCCAGGGAATGTGAGTAGGAGAGGGTGTGTCTGAGCCAATGAGGTTACTCTTGGCTGGGGGTGTGAGAATCGATAGAGAAGCAAAGGAGATTCCAGTGGGAAGAAATCAGTTTAAATAAGTTATCATGGCACGTTTCAGGGACTGTGCATCCCCTGACACCTGCTGAGTGGTTTCTATGTGTCCTCTCCATGGGCCCGTATGGTGCTTATTTACTCAAGTGACCCTCCCTCTTCCTGAGGACAGGGGTCCCCTCATTCCTCTGCTGAGGGTATGACTTCACAAATCAGCATGAGGCAGCCCCAGGGGCTCCAGGAGGAGATACTGAGAGGAACAGAGAGTGACAATGAACACTACCTAGGGTTTTAAGAAAATCTGAGGAGATGTGGTTTCCGTGGATGGAAACTGAACTCATGGCCATGGACATGAGTGGAGATGATGTACTAAATGGATTTTCATAAAAGAGACTGATGTGAATACTTTCCATGTGGGATTTGCCCTTTGTTTTCAAAAACTGCAGAAAATAGTGAGAAGAAGGAGCTGGACATGTCATGAACTGACTTGTGGGCCCAGGATTTACACTGTAACTGAATATACCTCATAGGTTGTCACTGAAAGTGCCTGATAGTGGAGATTTGGCTTCATGAGGAAATGGGAAGAAGAGAAATAAAATTGGCAGAGGAGGATGTGTGAGAAAGGAAGGGAAGAGGGGTCTGTAGAAAACAGAGAGCGTCACAATTGCTCTACCTCAGAGAAGGCATAGTCTGTGAAGTCAATTTCTAAATGTATATTTGGCAGAAAGGCCAGTGGATTAGATAACAGCTATTTACAGGTTTGCTGAGCAATTGTTATTGAATCAGGCCCCTTGGAAATTATAATAATTAATACTCTCAACAATGGTGACAGGTAGATGCTATTTTTTAGGTAGGTCTGATGAGGAAACAGAGATTTACATCCCCAAAAGGCAAAATATTTCGCCAAAGTGAACAACAAGATAGAGGTCCACCCAGGACCTGAGAGCAGATTTTCTCCTAAGCCCCAGGCTCTTTCTTACCTCACTGGGTTGGAGTAACATGGATTTAAACTTGAGCATGAGTGAGCATGGAAAGGCCCCAGTCACTCCTCCTCCCATAGCACCATGACCACCAAGACCTGGATTAGACCCTCCTATTCCCCTTTCCTTCCCTACCTTGAGAGAGACATTGGGTCCCAGAATCAGCATTGGCTGTGAAACTGCAGGCGGTGGAGGAAAGGTCAGGCTTGGCTAAGCCATTCCCACAGTCGAACCCTTGATCCGGCTGTAGTCCCAGACAATTGGGCACCAGGGTGCTTGGCTCCGGCTGTGTCTGTGAAGCCTGCACCTCTGACAGATAGTAGCTCAAGTCTCCACTGCAAGTCCCTTGGGGACAGGTCTCCTGGGTAGGAGCTGAAAGGAGAAGGGGCTTCAGTAGGAATGGTCTCAGTTACCCCATTGTTAAATGCATCCAGAACCCCCATCTTTGCTGTCTCTGCTTCTCACTAAAGCCATCCAGTGACCCAGGCCACACGGACAGACATCATATAAATGCAGGCGATGTCACCATTTCTGTCTGTGCCTGTGCAAAGTGACAGGGGCTGGGGTTCCAGGGCTAGGGTGTCCCTGAAGTGAAATAGTTGTGTAAAACTGCCTGCATGTGTGGGTGGCCAGAGAAGAGATAATGGCACTGTTGAAGGCATGTAGTTAGGAACATAATTTCAGAAAGGAGAGATTCCAGATCTTAAGAAGAAGGTTTGATGTGCAAATATAATTAGATGAGTTCCTGTGGGCAAGAACTTGCTAAAAGCCCTAACCCCTTTCCAGCTTTCATGCCCACAGCCTGCTCTTGTAAGAAAGAGCCAGGTGACAGAGGAGTCACTTGGTATAGGAGTGGAGGAAGTTTCATCCTCTGGATGTACGTGATCATAGCTGGATCCCAGAGCCAGATTCAAAACAGACTCAGTGTAGATGGCCTGCCTGCATTGACAGCCTGTCTCAGCAGCACACGTTTCAGAAAGAAAACATGTGGAGGTTGCCTAGGAAGACACTGGAGCTTCAGGCTGGAGTACTATGACCTTCAGGCTGGAGTACTCACAGGCTACATCCAGAGCAGACCATGTGAGCTCATCATCCAATGACCACAAGGTGCTGCTATAAGGCTGGTGGCAGTCAGACAGGTCATGGTGAACTGAAGGAGTCAAGTAAATTTCATCCAAGGAGTCCTCTGGGACTTCCTGCTCGTTTACGTCTGGCAGCTCCTGGCTCAGCCTAGAGTAAAGAAGACAAAAGATAAACACTGGAAAGGACCAAAACCACTGCACCCAGCTGGTTCCATAGCGAGGATCACAACAGAGGCCAGAGGAAGCCAATACAGGGCCTTCATAACCGTCCTTCCCTGTCTCAAGCAGGAGAAGAGCAGCAGGGCTCAGTGCACTCGGCGGACAATGAGCTGGGGAGGAAGGAGATGGAGGGATCCCTCTGGGAAACTGCCAGGACACAGTTCATTCAGCACTTCTGCATAAATTTTGTTGAAACTAGTATAAGAGGCCAATTGAATACAGTTCTTTAATCTTCACAGAAAGAGTTCCTTTATCCTCAACATCACTTTTCTTAACACTGTGAGCATGACATGAGCTATTTTCATTCACCTTCCTTCTATCAAGTCCTTGCAAACATGATAATGCCAAAGAGGCAGACATGAGGTGAGATCAGGAAATCTCTGAGTTTGGTCAGTTCACCTGGCTCAACTGATTGTGGGTTCCTATGCTTGAGGGGGATTAAGAAGTTGAAACCAATTTAAGTACCACAATAAAGAAGACAACATTGTTAAAGGGGTAATTTGCAGTAGGATGAATGGATGAGGTTGTTCTGTTCATCAGTTCCCATCCAATTTTCTCCTGGATCCATGGTCTCCAGGTTTAATTGATCTAATAGCCCACATATCCACAGTTACCTGGGGGGCACTCGCGTTTTCTCTTCCTCTTCTTCATGATCCTTTTCATTTCCTGTAAAGAATTTCAGAAGAACAGGTCACAGTAAGCAAGTCACACTTCACACAACACCAAATCAGTGTCCAGTCATAGCACAGAGACATCAATATCCTCAGTGTAAGAATGTGATATACTGACAGGACGGTTCTAATGCACTCTAGATCAAGTCTTGTCAGAAGTAGATGAGCCTGCTTTCTAGACCCATGGGGCAAAATCTCCCTCATCTAATATATATCTAAATCACATGTCCTCGGACCTAAGTCTGTGCAAACAAAACTTTCCTCTCATCGTGCTCAAAAAAGCCCTAACTACCCTTCAGAAATTTTGTTGCAATACTGATTTATCTGGTCACATATGCTGGTTGATCAATTGTTAGAGAAACTTACATTTCTCCTGGTATTAAGGTGACTGCCTAGCTAAGACAAAGGAGACTAAGACAGGCTGAGAAGAATGAAAGCAGGGAAACAACATCGTTAAATATGTAGGCAAGGCTGTCTTCAACAGTGGCCGTGGACAAGCACAGAAACCTCGTGGACATTGTAAAGGGGAACAAATTACATCATTACAGGTGACAAAACACAAAGGAACCAATCTAGGAGGCCTCACAGTTACCACCTGTACAGATCCTGTACACGGGTGGCTATGAATTTGTCCCACCTGCCTGTGGTCCAGTAACCTGATATTGCGGACAGGGAGAAGCAGAAAGCTCTCTCACCCACCGACATCTGTATTAAATATTCCATCCTAGAACTCCCTCCCTCTGTAATGTCAGCTCAAATGAGTCCATGAGGTGAGAACACTGAGTCCCTGGCAACTCCATCAACCTTGCCACAGGCTGCACATCTGGAGCTGAAGACAAACATGATTTCAGGGCAATAGGGAACTCCCACTGTGACGCAGTTTCTAATTTCGTTTTCTAAGTGGGGCTCTTTATGCTAAGTTTTGACACTTCTCATTGAGAGAAACAAGAGACAATTAAGGGTTAACTTAGTTGTGTTGCTCCAAACCCCACACAAGAGGAAAACCTATGTATAAATGATGCATTAAGGCAATGCTCCCTGCAGAAAGAGACAGTGGAGTTGGGGATGCTGGGAAGAAAGGTAAATTTCCCAGGAGGGTGTGCAATTCCAGTCAAAGAAACCCATGTTGAGCAGCTAAACTGTGCACATGGATGAGGGCAAGGAGGTCTGGCTCTACTGTCGCTCTGAGTGGACTCCCAAGACAGCAGAATAAGGAATAGAGCAGAGTTCAGAGAGGAATGAGGAGATGGGGACAGAAAAGGCTTCCCAGGGTGGGAAACCATGGGACACATAGTTAAGACCAGAACGAGCTTACAGCAGCCACTGGAGAGAAAAAATGGAAAGGAAAAAGCAATGGGAGAATGAGCTGTCACCACACACAGAGAGAAATAAGAAGTGAGTGTGGCTAAGAGTCACAGATGTGATTACCTCTGCACCGTAAGCGTGAAGGGTAGGGAATCCACTTGCTGGACCGGAGTTTTCTTTTAATCATCTTGGGTTTCCAAACACTTGAGGCATGAATATGGCCAGTGACTTGATTCCCTTGTGTGTTGTCTGCTGAGCCTTCGAGTGCATCATCTTCCAGCTGCGGAGGGTTCTTCATCCCAACAGAGGGCTCTGAAACCAGTTCTGAAAACAAAACGACAGCCAATGGCTTCCCCTTGCATCCATTATCTTACTGTGACTTTCTCTTCCACCCAAAGGATGTCAAATCAGGAATATGTCCTTGGAAAAAAGGTCCGAACTGTGAGGGGAAGCCAACAGAATGACTTTAATATTTTCTTTTTGTTGATCTTTCTTCCATTACTCAGTAAGGACAAGTTTGTCAAGATGCCAAGGCACTCCTGATTCACAAAAATATTCAAGAAACACAGGATTAAGAAAGCAAATAGCTTACAGGTAGATTAGGCAAAAGCAAGGAAATCCCCTGTATGTAGTCTGTGCTTTGGGGAGGGAAGATATTATAAAACTGAAAGTTAAATCAGAGCTGAGTTCAAACAGGAGATGGGGATGGAAGGGCCTGGCAGGGTGGCAGCCCATGGAACACAGAGGTGAGACCAGACAGAGGTTACAGCAGCTGATGGGAGAAAAGAACTGGGGAGGCCTAAACTTCGAGAATTTAGAAGACTTGCAGCATTATAAGGTCCATTGCATATACATATACACCCTATGAGGCTTACACACCTAATATACATAAGATATGTGATAAATGATATTAATTTATATATTGGTACATAATCTAATGAAAACATTATACAGGAATATGGGAGATATTGAATGTAACATTATAATCACTATTTTGGTTTATTGAAATTGGAAAAAAAATCAGAAGCATGAGAACAATGTGGAAGAAATGTGTGGGAGAAACAAATGGCCTTTTAGAAAGCAGGAGAAATCAACAGTTGAAGGAAAATATGAATAAGACAAACATTCACTCTGTCCTCTCACCTCGAGCTTGATTCAGGCTCTGGACTCCAGGGAACATGAGTAAGTGAGAGTGTGTGTGAGCCAGCGGGGTGAGTCTTGGCTGGGGATGTGAGAATCCATAGAGAAGCAAAGGAGATTCCGGTGGGAAGAAATCAGTTTAAATAAGTTATCATGGCACCTGTAAGGGACTTCACATCTCCCAAAAACCACTGAGCACCATCCACGTGTCCTCTCCATGGACCCAGATAATGCTTGTTATCTCATGTGACCATCCCTCCTCCTAAGGATAGGGGTCTCGTCATTCTTCACCTGTGGACATCCCCTGACAGATGAGGAGCAGGCAGCCCTAAAGCCTCCAGGAGTTGATATTGAGTGGGATGGAGAGTGAGAATGAACACGACCCAGGTCTTTAAGGGAATCTGAGCAGAAGTGGGTTCTGTGAGATGGAAATTGAGGACATCGTTGTAAACATGAGTGGAGAGGAGGAACTAAATGGATTTTCATAAAAGAGAATGAGGTGAATAGTTTCTGCGTGAAAGCAGCCCTTTGTTTTCAAAAAGAGCAGAAAATAGGGAGAAGAAAGGGCTGGACATGACATGAGACTGACTCCTGGGCTCAGACTTTACACTGTTACTGAATGTGCCTCATAGGTTGCCACTGAAAGTGCCTGATAGTGGAGATTTGGCTTCATGAGGGATGAGGAAGAAGAGGAAGAAAACTGGCAGAGGAGTATGTGTGAGAAACAGAGGGAGAAGGTGCCTCTAGAAAACAGAGAGTGTCAAAATTGCTCTACTTCAGAGAATGTATAGTCTGTGAAGTCACTTTCTAAATGTAAATTTTGCAGAAAGCAAGTGGATTAGATAACAGCTATATATAGTTTTATTGAGCGATTGTTACTGAATCAGGCCCTTTGGAAATTACAATAATACGCTCAACAATTATTACAGGTAGATACTATTTTTTACGTAGCTCTGATGAGGAAAGAGAGATTTACATCCCCTAAAGACAAATTTTTATGCCAAAGTGAACAACCAGAAAGAGGCAAACGCAGGCCCTGAGAGAAGGTTTTGTCTTAAGCCCCAGGCTTTTGCTCACCTTACTGGGTTGGAGCATCATGGATTTCAACTTGACCCTGAGTGAGCACGGAGAGGCCCCATTCTCACCTCCACCCATAGCACCCTGACCACCAAGGCCTGGATTAGAGCTTCCTATTCCCCTTTCCTTCCCTACCTTGAAAGGGACATTGGGTCCCAGACTCCGCATTCACTGTGAAGCTGCAGGTGGTGGTGTAAAGGCCCCGCCTGGCTAAGCCATTCACACAGTTGAACCCTTCATCCAGCTGTAGTCCCAGACAATTGGGCACCAAGGTGCTTGGCTCCGGCTGTTTCTGTGAAGTCTGCACCTCTGACAGGTAGTAGCTCAAGTTTCCACTGCAGGTCCCTTGGGGACAGTTCTCCTGGGTGAGAGCTGAAAGGAGAAGGGGTTTCAGTAGAAACAATCTAAGTTTACCCATTGTTAAATGTACACAGAACGCTCATCTCTGCTGTCCCTCCCACTCACTAAAGCCTTCCAGTGACCCTGGCCACACAGACAGACATCAGGTAAAAGCAGGTGATGTCACCTTTCCTGTCTGTGCCTGTGAAAGCTGACGCGGGCTGCAGTTCCAGGGCTAGGTGTCCCTAAAGTGACATAATTGTGCAAAACTGCCTGCATGTGTGGGTGTCCAGAGAAGAGATAATGGCACTGTTGAAAGCATGTGGTTAGGAACATAACTTCAGAAAGGAGAGATTCCAGATCTTAAACAAGTAGATTTGTTGTGCCAATATATCTAGATAAGCTCCTGTGAGCAAGAACTTGCTAAAAGCCCTAACCCCTTTCCAGCTTTCATGTCCACAGCCTGCTATTGTAAGAAGGAGCCAGGTGACAGAGGAGTTACTTAGGACAAGAGTAGAGGAAGTTTCACCCTCTGGATGTACATGATCGTAGCTGGATTCCAGAGCCAGATTGAAAACAGGCTCAGTGTAGATGGGCTGCCTGCATTGACAGCCTGTCTCAGCAGCACAATTTGCAGAAAGAAAACATGTGGAGGCTGCCTGGTAAGACACTGGAGCTTTATGACTTCAGGCTGGAGTACTCACAGGCTACATCCAGAGCAGAGCATGTGAGCTGATCATCCAATGAGAACAAGGTGCTGCTATAAGGCTGGTGGCAGTCAGACAGGTCACGTTGAACTGAAGGAGTCAAGTAAATTTCATCCAAGGAGTCCTGTTCTTGCTCATTTACGTCTGGCAGCTCCTGGCTCAGCCTGGAGTAAAGAAGACAAAAGATAAACACTGGACAAGACCAAAACCACTGCACCCAGATGGTTCCATAGGGAGGACCACAGGAGAGGCCAGAGGAAGACAAGTACAGTGCCCTCAGAGAGACACAACCATCCTTCCCTGTCTCAAGCAGGAGACAGATTGGCAGGTGCTCAGTCCACTGTACAGACAATGAGCTTTCGAGTAATGAGATGGAGGGATCCCTATGGGAAACTGCCAGGTCACAGTGCATTCAGCCCTTCTGCACACATTTTGTTGAAACTAGCATCAGAGGCCAATTGAATACAGGTTCTTGAATCTTCACACAAAGAATTCCTTTATCCTCAACATCACTTGTTCTCAAAACTATGAGCATGACATGAGCTATTTTCATTCTCTTTCGTACTATCAAATACTTGTAAATATGGTAATGCCAAAGAGGCAGACATAAGGTGAGATCAGGAAATCCCTGAGCTTGTTCAGTTTACCTGGCTCAACTGATTGTGGGTTTCTATGCTTGAGAGTGAATAGGAAATGAAACCTATTTAAGTACCACACTAAAGAAGACAACTTTGTTAAAGGGGTGACTTTCAGTTGGATGGATAGATGACATTGTTCTATTCATCACTTCCCATCCGATTTTCTCCTGGATCCGTGGTCTCCAGGTGTCAATATTGAGCTAACAGCCCACAAATCCACAGTTACCTGGGAGACACTGGAGCTTTCCCTTCCTCTTCCTCATGATCCTTTTGATTCCCTGTAAAGAAATTCAGAAGATCACGTCACAGTAAGCAAATCACCCTTCACACGATACCTAATCAGTGTCCAGTCATAGCACAGCGACATCAATATTCTCAGTGTAAGAATGTGATATTCTGACAGGAAGATTCTAATGTGCTCTAGGTCAAGTCTTTTCAGAAGTAGATGAGCCTGCTTTCCAGACCCATGGGACAGAGTCCCCCTCATCTAATAGATCTTAATCACATATGCTCTGACCTAACTCTGTGCAAACAGTTAAACAAAACTTTTCCCCCATGGTCTTCAAAAATGGCCCTCAGTATTCTTCAGAAGTGTTGCTGCAATACTGATTTATCTCATTATATATTCTGGTGGTTGAATTCTAAGAGAAATTTATATTTCTTCTGGTATCAGGGTGACTGCCTAGCTAAGACAAGCTGATTCATAGGAGACCAAGACTGACGCTGAAAAGAATGACACCAGGGAAACAACATCGTTAGATATATGGACAAGGCTGTCTTCGACAGTGACTTTGGACAAGCATAGAAACTCCATGGACATTGTGCAGGGGCACAAATTACATCATTAGAGGTGACAAGAGACGTTGGAACTGAGCTAGGCGGCCTCACAGATACCTCCTGTACACCTTTTGTACACAGGTGGCTATGAAGTTGTCCCACATGCCTACGGTCCACTTACCTGATATTGGGGCCAGGGAGAATTGGAAAGCTATCTGACCCTCTTGTATTTATATTAAATATTCCATCCTAGTCCTCCCTCCCTCCCTCTCTCCTCCCCTCCCTCCTTTTCTCCTTCTCTTCCTTCCTTCCCTCCCCCTCTCCTCATCTTT